GATATGAGGAAGGATTCCCCGAAGCTAAATCTCAGTAGCAGAAACTAATGAATGAATGACATGATCGTCAATGCCTGCCATGGAGAGTGCGCGAAAGTCTGATGAGAAACTGGGCATTTATGTAGCTTCAAAGCCTCTCCCTACAGAGCGCTGATTACTTACAAAGGGAAGGAGTAACTTCAGAGGAAACACGTCAGACACCCCCTGAACCAAATGATCGAAGCCAGCATCACTGACACTGGGACAAATGGACATCGCAGGCCTGTCCCCCGATGTGATGCAGGGAGAGGGACCCATCAGTGTGATGGTGTCCTTGCCAAAAACACACCACCCGAAATCAGTCACGAGGAAACCTTGGACAAACCCAAACTGAGGGACATTCTACAAAACAGCTGGTCTGTGCTTCTCCAGAGATGTCATGGTCAGGAAAAGACAAAGGCTGAGCAAGTCCGTGAGACTAAAGGAGACTTAAAGGACATGACAACTAAATGTAATGTGTGATCCTGGGTTGCACTCTGGGCCAAGGAAACACACCCCGCTTAACAGACATTACTGGGACAATTACCAAAATTGGAACATATATGTGGATTTAGATAATAATTGATTTTGATACCTGTACTGCAGTCATTGTAAGATATTACCTTTGATCTTAAGAAATACATCTGGAGGGGTAGGGTATAGCTCAGTAGTAGAGCGCATGCTTAGTATGCATGAAGCCCTAGGTTCAATCCCCAGCACTTCCATTAAAAAAAGAAAAAAAATAAGAAATACATCTAAAGCATTTGGGGGTATAGGGTCACAATGTCTCCAACTTACTGACAAATTGTTAAAAAAAAAACCCTCATATATACGTGTGTGTATATACACACATACAGTGAGAGAGAGAGAGACAAAGACTGGGGCAAATTTTCTGAATCTGGATAAAGAGTATATGGGAGTTCCTTGTATCAGTCTTGCAATTTTTCTAGAAGTTTAAACTCATATCCAAATACAAAGTGACTACTGTGTAATAAGAATTGGAACCAGTACTGGAAGTCGGTACAGAGCAGCCACAGACTGCGTAATGGGTTTTGGGGTCTACACGGGACCACTGGTGGGACGATGGAGAAACTACCATTTAAAAAAGGAAACCTCGATGAATGTTTTTACTCGGGAACTGGCATGTTGGGAAAGTCAGGCTTCTCAGCTCAAAGCCGCAGCGGTGAGACCGCCACCCTTTAGGAGGGCTTCCAGGCCCTGGCTTGGACACGAAGCTCCGAGCGCAGCCCAAAGCTTAAGGCTAAAACAGGGTGTTCACCTGATCAAAGGAAGCACCTCAGCCATTATCTAGAAAGCAAGTTACAGGGGGACACACACAGAAACGAGACCAAAATGCTACATTAACAAAACGTTTGGCGGCTGTGGGAGTACAGGGTTTCTTCTGTGGGCTTTGGCATTTTCCCAAGCGTTCTTTTCTGATTTCAAAAAATGATTTCATTTAATTAAAGCTCCTGAATGAGGAGAGGAACTGGACTCAGGGGCAGAGGGGCTCAGAAGCGGATCCCCAGATCACTGATCCTCCGTCCATTCACAAATGCTCCTTTGAGCCTATTCTGGGCCCGGCACTCGGACAGGTGTGAAATAAACAAAGATGAACAAAACAGACGAGATTCCTATCTTCCAGCCAGTTAAACTCTGGAAGTGCATATATTTGTTTTGTGTGGTTGGGCACAGCCTTCCAGGGGGCAGGTGCGGGGAATGACAGGGGCCAGGGGGAGGGATCTGGATCGCAGTCTCCGTGCAGTGATCAGACACTACAGATACCGACATGAGAAACATCACTGCTACTTACTTTTTAGAGCTTGTTTTGAAGGCATAAAAATTCAAGCGGCAATAACACTTAACTCCATCCCGGCCCCGGCCCAGTTACGGCTTGTTTATACACATTTCCCTGACAGGCAGCTTCCACATGACTCACATCTCTGCAAGCATGCAGGCTGTTTCCTTCATTTGCCCTTCTCCCAGGGCAAACCTCATCTTAAAATAGTTTGCTCATGATGCCCAAAAGGAATTTCATAATCAAGTGTTTCCATTTTTCTAAGAAAAAAAGCCAGTGTCCAAACCTCTGACTACTTCCAGTCACCTGCTTACCTGCTCCTGCCTCCAGCCTAGAGAACCCAGCATCTAGGAAACCGGGATGATCCCTGGCTCCCTCGCTTCTGCCTCTGATTTGCAGTGAGGGCAGTGATTCTCAGCTCTGGCTGCCCCTTAGAATCTCCTGGGGTGCTTAAAAAACAAACAGCCCTGCCCCAGACCAGTTAAATCATATCCTGGGCAGATTAGATGCCAGATTTTACAGCTCATTATCTCTATTACTTTGCAATGCGCCTGTTTGACCTGGCACCTAAATCAGGCCCTCATCACCTCTTCACCTGCTGATTAAACAGTACTTTAATTGTTCTTTCCATCTCTTAATGATGATAGCAGTGCTAGGGGTGGTGATGGCAGGAAGGTTGGAGCAAGCTAACAGTTACGGAGGCTCACTTCGGGCAAGTGAGCACTGTTCTAGACGCATCACAATGCACGGGCCCATTTTCTCACATCTCGGAGGCCACGTCCTCTTCTAATTCCCGTTTTATAGGTGAGGAAACCGAGGCAAGGAGAGACGACGCCATCTCCTGAAGCCGCACAAGTGGGAAGAGGTGGAGCTGGGGCTGAAACCCGCTGTAAGACGCAACCTCCCGCACGCGGAGCATCCTCACCAGGCATCTGAGGTTTGGCTCCTGCCAATACGTGTTATTTATCTCAGAAGTCAGAATGAGAAGCTCTGACTCAAAAATTGAAGATGGTGTACAGAATTTCAAGCTACTTAAGGTTTTCTCCCATAAACGTCCTTTAAGCTTCTAAGGCCAGTGTCTGCTTTTCTATTATACTAGAGTACAGACTATGATACTTACTAGACAAGCATCCATTGTGCTTTCTACAATGTAATGTATCCACTGTTCCTGCTTCTCCACTCTCAGAGAAACAAGGAGTCCCTGCTCCATCACGGTGCTGGGCCAGCATCCGCACAACACACACCTGCAACAGCTGGGGGTTTGCTTGGCAGTGGGAGCTATGGGCACAGAACCTTGTGGACAGCTCAGGGCTTCTGTGTATGTTTCATGTCATTTCCACTGAGATCATAAATGAGGATGAGTAGCTGATTTATTTGAGGAAAAGAGTCTAGAAGGAAAAGAAAAACTTGATAATGTATATTAATACGGTCTCCCAGAGCCAAGGAAAGGAGAATTCTAAGAACCAGAGGGTTGAGAAGAAGTAGGGCAAATGACTGGGCTCAGGTATTAGATGGCGAATGAACTGGAAGAATAAATGATTCAGGGATGGGTGGGTGGACGTTCTAGTCCTTGTGTGAAATTGGGTGGTGAACGTTGGAAGGGAAATAGGATAATGTATCACAGGAGGAGGAGGGCGGGACGAAGGCTTTTTCATTTGGTTTTTCAGAGATGGATTACTCTGGGAAACTTAGAGTATATGTGCTAGTTTTAAAGGGAACTCACTTCCTCGAAACGTAGATGGAGATTTTGGATGATACGTAGAGAGACAGCATGTGGAAGGAAGCAAGAAGAGATGCAGGGTCTGCTGGGGTGGGCTAGGGGGACCCTACAGGATGAGTGGTGGGCAAGCAAAGACTTGAAACAGTTAAAGAGAGACAGCTGTGCTGGGAGGGGACAAGCCAGCTTTGTGGCAGGGTGGCCAAGTCCTCCACCGTGACTGACCACTAGAGGGCACCAACGCCTTGCACCCGGCCATCCACGGCCATTCTGGAGTCAGGAGGGCCAGAGGTACCGCCCCCGCCTGCCCCCTGGGGTGCTTGTTCAACAGGATGCTCACCACAGAACCCCTCAGGGCAGCCTGCACTGGACGGCTGGCCCTGCTGCTCACTCAGTCCCCACCTGTCTCCCCAGCAGATGGCTGTGCTGGTCACCTGAGAACTACATGTGGCATTGCTTTGACAACCATCGAGGGCTCTGTCACCGTAAGCTGCTCTCATGACTGGAAATCCTGCAGGCTCACTGTGCCGTTACTTATTTGCACAGAACTTCCTTCTCCTCACCTGGACTCTAAACTTGTAATGAAAAGGACTATTGGATATCTTAAAACGTCCTGAAACGAGAGGAAATAATGTCTGGAATTTGCTTTCAAACAACCCAGTGTGGTGGAAAGGGGAATGTGTGTGAAGGGAACCACCAAAATTTTCCATAATGTTTAAGAAGCATCAGGTCTCCCAGGAGCTCCCTGTCTGTGAAATGGATAGGTCACGCCAGCTGGGGTTCCTTCTGGCTGCACCCTCTTTGGTTCTGAGACCCACTGCGCAAAGGACAATACCAGTTAGCTGGTGGGATATGCGCTTGTGGGGAGCCGGCCCCAAGCTCCTAAGAAAAGTCCAGGACGGAGGAACGCGGGGTCCCGGGCACATCTCCTATCATATCAATTTCAGTCCAGTTTCAGTCCATTGGAAGCCCCGGAGGCGAGGAGGCCTGTCAGATCCCACCGCCCCTCTTCCCAGGACCCTCCAGACCTTCCTTGGCGGCATGTTGCCCGCTGGGATTTCTGTTTGCACATGTTTTAATTAACCACTCCTGTAACATCCTGTACAGGAGAGCCTCTTCAACTGCTGCCTTGCAGCTACGAGGGGGAAGCAGAGGCCATGCTGAGCGAGCTCCAACAGGAGAGAAAGGAGAACACAGCTGCCCGGGGTGGATGGACAGCGGGGAAGGACCGGGGTCACCAGCCAGGGTCAGGGCTGGCATCTCCCATCTACAGCATCCCGGGCGGTGTGTGCTGAGGTGGCAGTGGTAAGGCCGTGCACAGGCAGCAGCTGCATGCCTCACCCCGGGCCGTATAGCTCACACACCCGCGGCAACACCGCTAGGCCTCTGGGAAGGTGAGGGGAGGCATGACATGGGACGAGGCTGGCGAGGGTGCCACTGTGGCGCCTTCAGGCAAAACAGACTTACCAAGTGTGCGGGGGACGGCGATCTGGTGTCCTTGACTGTGGCGCTGGTGGGGACATCGAGGAGGGGCCATTTCATCTGCAGGTACTGCACAGGGACAGAAAACAAAGCGGCTGGTTAGAGGAGGCCTCGTGACACCCCAGGTGTGCAGGGGGGTGCTCCACAGGTGGGAACACGCAGCTCGTTTTAACTGCACGCTCCTCACGGGGTCAACGCCCAAGTGATCAGAACAGGGTAGGGCGTGCATCTATGACCTCTACCGCCACCAGCCCCTTCGTCACTTTGGGGACACACATGACAGCAGAGCCGATCAAAGTGTTCAAAGACCCTGCTGGGGAGGGCCAAGACCCCTGCTCTGGTTGCGTTACAAGCGGGGCTCATCCAGGGATCCAGGACTCCCATATGGTGACCCCGCCTGTTCATTGCCATCTCTTATAGCTTCACACACAGCGCCCGCCCCCAGGCAACAGCCTCTCCAGAAATTTCTAGTGAGTGAATGAATAAAAACCACCTGCTTGACACTTGCAGGGTCATGGGCAATAACTGTCCATATTCAAGGCTGTGGATCTTTACTTCGTGACAGTGTTTCTCAAACCTTGAAAAAAATTACCTGGTACCTGCCCTCTCCCAAGTATCGCTGCAGAAAACCCAAACCAGTCTCGGGCAAAAGGCTGGGAGAGAGAGGGTGGAGAGACAGTGAGAGGCCCCGGGTGAGCCGCCTGGGCCTGGGGGTCGAGTGCTCATGGGTTCGGGTCCTCACTCTGCCAAGGTAGGCTGTGTGACCCTGGATAAGTGTCTTAACAACTCTGAGTCTCTGTTTCTTCATCCATAAAGCAAGACTCTTATCACTAACTCTACAGGTTGTTGGAAGGATTGGGGACAACGTCAAGGACTGAACACAGTGAGTGCTTTGCAGGTGGAAGACACTTGAAAAACAGCAGCTTTTATTTTCGTAAGTGAACCACGAGTCTTTGCCAGGAGCAAAACACACCGTGTCGGCTCTGTCAGCACTGACACGGTGCTTCTGGGGCAGCAGACCAGAGATGCAGCCTCTTTGCAGAATTTTTGAGGCTCCTCTGAAAATTAACGCTCTCAGGGGAAGTGGTGGCTCCAGGAAGAATTTCACAGGGAGACAGAAGGAAGTCCTTGAATAATCTCTTGCTCTGGTCATTCAATTTGGGTGGGGATGGGGGGGCGGTAAGGGTGGTGGAAATCATGATTTGGCCTTGAGGTCTGTGCACAGGATCAGAAAAGGAAGGTGGGCGGTGCCCCTTTGCTCTTCATCAGCCACAAAAATTGACTGAGGGGGCAGGAGCGGGGCTTTCAAAAAGGGTGTCCACAGGCAGGAACAGTAATCCGAGGGCACACCTGCCAAGGGCCGGCGAGGGGCACAGAGAGCAGCGGGACGGGGTGAGCTGGCCCGGCTGTGGGAGGCCTGGGAGGTGGGAAAGACAGCGGGCCTTCGCGGGGGCCCTTGAACAAGGACAGTTCCACTCCGGGCCCCCGGTACCCTGCCCCCCCCCCCACTGAGTGTCACCTCTGTCCCCGTCCTCTGCTGACTGCTTCCTTCCTTCACCCTCCTACTCATCCATTTCCCTTCCCAGAGCCCACGCTTCCTAGATGAACTGACTGGGATTTAAACGCCTGTGGCAGGTTAACAGCACCGGACAAACACTGGTATCGTTAAACCCAGTTTAAGCTTCAGCGCAACGCTGCCACAGCAGGTTGGAGTGACCGTCCCAATTTTCAGAGGCGCTAGTGGAGGCAGATTCAGGGTAAATGACCTGCCCACTCTATGAGGAGCTGGAGCTAAGGCCTCCTGCCTTCACACCCCGCTCTTCACCACAATATGAGTCAGAAGGCTTTTCATAGCATCGCCTTCCTGAACATTCCACGCCACCCTCCACCCCCACCCCCACCCGCAGCCTTTTCTTTGCTCTGATGGCTTTTTCTCTCTCCTTTTCTGCCTCACTCGGGGCTGGCCACCCGGAAGCTGAATGAATATACACACACAGCAGCGTTCTCCTGGGGGGCCCTGGAGGTGGCTGGAGCTTCCATGCAAGTGGAATTTGCTTCTCTGCAGTCACAAATAACCAGTGCCAAAGAGAACTGGCCCAAATTTACACCCCCCAACATGAAACACAATAAGGGTTCCTAAAATCCATCAACTCTACCCGCATCCGATTCCCTCTTTAGAGTTACAAAGACCCATGCCGAACACACTTGACTCTTCTTGCTTACCAGAGGTGTTCTTGGGTCAATGTTGGGGTGACCCAAAGGAATCTACCTGCATCCTAGTTTGGGACAGTGTGGAGCTTGGCTCTTTAAGAATACACAGCCGACCCCCAGGTTGTTAGGAACAGCAGGCTCGTAGGACTCCAGCACAGGGCTTCTCCGCCCTGGCACTACTGACATTTGGGGCTAGAGAAGTCTGTTTCTTTTTCATATTCTTTTTCATTACAGGTTACTACAAGACACAGAGGATAGTTCCCTGTGCTGTGTACAGCAGGACCTCGTTGTTGATCTGTTTTATACATAGCGGTCAGGAACTGCACATCCCAAACTTCCAGTTCATCTTTCCACCCTCCCCTGTCCCTCCTGGTAACCATAAGTTCGTTTTCTATGTCTGTGAGTCTTTTTCTGTTTTGTAAGTAAGTTCACTTGTGTCATTTTTTTAAAAAAAAGATTCCACATATAAGTGGTACTATATGGTATTTGTCTTTTTTCTTTCTGGCTTACTTCACTTAGAATGAGAATCTGTAGGTCCATGCATGTTGCTGCAAATGGTATTGTTTCATTCTTTTTTATGGCTGAGTAGTAGTCCATTTATCTATATACGCACACACCCCACAACTTCTTTATCCAGTCATCTGTCGATGGACATTTAGGTCGCTTCCATGTCTTGGCTATTGGAAACAGTGCTGCTGTGAACACTGGGGTGCATGTCTCTTGTTGAGAGTTTCCTCCCAATATATGTCCAGGAGTGGGATTGCTGGATCACATGGTAAGTCCATTTTAGTTTTTTAAGGGACCTCCATGCTGTTCTCCACAGTGGCTGCACCAATTTTACATTCCCACCAGCAGTGCAGGAGGGTCCCTTCTCCACACGCTCTCCAGCGTTTATGGGCCAGATAATTCTTTGTTGTGGGGATGTCCTGTGTATTTTGGGATGTTTAGCAGCATTCCTAGCTTCTACCTACTAAATGCCAATAGCCCTCACTCTCCTGCCCAGTTGTGATAACCAAAAAGGTCTCCAGACTTTACCAAATGTCTCCTGGAGGGATAAAACCGGCCCCTTCATGAGAACCGCTGCTCCGTGGTTGAGGAGCTGGTACCCATTACACTATGAGATGCATGAGGGTCGTCCATCTGCTTGGTCCCGAGGCGATCAAGGTACAAACATACTTAGAAACACACACACACGCACAGTAAGGGCTGTCGGCAGTAGCCACTATTCGTGACTGCCTGTCGTGTGGTTAGCGTTTCACCTGCTACCAGGATGTCTGGGCTTCTGGTGGGAGGAACCGCACTGGCCTCTGCTCTCCTTGGAATCCACTCTCATTCACTGACTTTCACTGAAACCCGGGAGCTTGAAGGGTGGGTGAAAATCTTCAGCCCTGGCCACCACGGAGTCTGGCTCCTTCCAGGTAAGTCAGACAAGCGTAGAGAGGTGGTTCTGGAAATAGCCTGCATCTTCCAGCCCATCATGGGGGTTACGGGGTGGTGACACGTGGGTGTTCAGAGGGGGCTTCATTCCAGGAGGGAGGGGAAAGGAAGACTGTCAATTTCCCCTTTCCACTTTTCTGCCTCTTTTTAAAAAAAAAAATTTGAAACAAGTGGTGGGGGTAAGGGTGGGGGAAGAGTCAGAGCCTCTGCAGCTTAGCCAGGGGATGCCTCTAGAATTCGGAGGAAAAGAGCGTTCTAAAGGGACAGCTAAGCTTCTCAGAACCACGACCTCAGGCAGAGGGAGCCAGCAACACCCCTTGTCACCCTGCCCAACCTCATCACCAGAAATTTGGAGGTGGCTGTGCAGTTCTGAATTCCCAGGTCAGGCTCAGCCCAGCGTTGAGTGGAAATAAATCTTTCCTGGCTATAATTCTCTTGTGAGGCCAGTCCCATGGGGCTAATCGCTCATTGGCGGGGAGCGTGTTCTTGGGGATTAAGAGATGTATGGCTGAGCCTAAACTCTGCACAGTGATGGCATGTGGGCAAATGAAAACTGCTGCTTTCTCCAAGCCCAGGCAAGGCTCCATCCAACTGGCCACACTGGCTCCTGACCAGTGTATCATGGCCAGACTTCAGCACGTAGAGAAGCTGGTCCAACCACCTCCCTCCTGGGGGATGCTCTTCGGAATGGACCACATGGGGCCTGTGTGCCGGCAGCACACCGACGGCTATGCAACAGCCACAGCCACCACTTACGGGACAAGCACTCTCTTCCACTATTCAAAACTCAGAAAGACAAAACCAAACTCAAATGGTGAGTACTGCGAACCCGCGATGTGCAAACGCTACTGAACCTGCTGCTGCGTGCGGTGACTCTCGGAGACGGGCCAGATAGGCAATTTCCCAACCTTACTGAATCTGGGGAACTCTTTGTTGGGGGGGTTCCGTGGAACCCACTTGGGGCAATTCTGCTATTGTGGTTCACAGTTAAGTAGAGTGAGGCTGTGCCTTGGACCCTGCCTTTACCTTGTTAAGGAAGGAGGGTTCTATTCCTCTTTTTAAATCGTCATCACTGGGGTAGTTGCTGAATTCTTAGAATCTATCAGAACAGCCGTGCGGTTTCTCGTACTTGACTCAGTTATGAAACATAGACGTAGTAACGGGTTTTCTTACACGGACGCGCTCTTGTGCTCACCGGGTGCGTGGTGGCGTGTCCACGCTTGTACCACGTCGTGGAATGCTAGCCACGGGTGTTTTAAGATTTGCACTCATCCCTAAGTCAGAGTGAGAAAGCTTTCTTTTTGGGGGTGACGTCTTTATCAAATGTTGCATCCCTGTTATGTTGGCCTTATTACTTACAAGGGATGCCGCTGCTCGTTTAAGGCCCCTTTCTGCATCTTGGGCCCCTCCCCAGCACCCTCCTTGGTGGGGGAGGAAGTCACTCGGCCA